GTTGACAATATGGTTTGATTGATTGGTAGGATTAATTCCAAGTTGGTGAATTTTTGTTATTTTAGCTTGCTAAAGAACCTTGTGTATGAATAATAATTAATTTTCTGTTAATAGGAAGATAATTGATTAGCATGAACATCTATTGATTATCAACCTCGTATGATATGTGACCACTATACCATATGTCTACGATTAATGAATATGAAACTAGAATTAATAAGGAAATTGAGTAAATTCATGTGCAAGCTTGTAAGATGACCATCAAACAAGAGGTTAATTAAGAATAATAAATTAATTAGCTATTGCAAGTCTAACTTAACCCGAATAATTAATCTAGTAAATATAATTAAATTAAGCAATTGGCCACTGTTTGAGTTAGTTTATTTGCTAAGGATTAGGATAGTGAACATGAACCTAATCACTTGAATCGGTAACCAACGAAAGAATTAATCCATTGCACTATTACCTTAAAATCAACCATAGAGTTAACCGAGTTGAACTAAATAGGAGTTCCTTTTCCATTATTGAATCTAGTTAAATTGTTATTTTCTAGTCTTAAGTTAGTTATAGTTAGTAAGTTTCTAGTCTTGTAAAACTAGAGAAAAAACCTTATTTCTTAATCAACTTAGATAGAATTAGTTTTTAATTTAATTTTCCGTTCCCTGTGTTCGATACCCTGCTTATTTAGCTATACCACAATTGATAGGTTCACTGCCTTTTGTGTGTTATTTGATAATTAAAGTAGGATTAAAACTAAGTGAGTTTTACACACATCAATCTTTCATCTTAATCTCTAGATTTAGTTAGGGTTTTCTATCTTGTCCCTTTTGGTTGATTTTGGACCTTCATTTGTGAGTTAAGCAACTCTAGAAGGTGGGAGTGACAGATCTGAGGTCGCTTGGTCCTTTAGTATCATAAAAATGGGGGCTTGATGGGAGTTTTGGCCTCATGCATGGGTTAAAGACCTTGGAAAGGTCTTAATGGAGGTGTTGGGTGTATATAAGGCATGCAAAGGCATAAAGTTGCCAACTTTATGCCTTAGGACATCTTAACAGACTTAGATCTGGCTTTTGGACGTACAAGAAATGACTATGAAACACTTAATGGAGAAAGTGATTAAACTGGTTGTACGTTGGGCGTAACCCAGTGCACGTCGCGCGTAGTCCTAAAGTCCCAGTACATTGCGTGTACCAGGATGGTACGCTGAGCATATACATTGCAGATGGGCCGAATTTGTTTTGGGCCTTTGAGCTATTTAGGCCTCATTTGATTATTGGGCATGGTGTATTCTGGGAATTATGAGTCATACCATTTATGGTGGGCCATGGATATATTGATTGGGCTTTATTGCGCCAAGAGGCCCATTAAGGATTTTTGGACTTAGACTTTGGGCCCATTAGCAAGGGATGGATAATTGGGACTTATGGAAGGGTTGGAATTTGGGTTTTCATTGGTTAATGTAAGGTACTAACATTGATTAATATTATTATTCAGCTCGAGAGGTTTCGGTCTATTAGGAGAGCTGCTTTCGTATTTAGCAGACAGAGGGGAGTCTCCTCACCATATAAATGGGTCTAAGGCACCAAGGCCGACCCATTCAATTAGTTGTAGTGTTTATCGTAGATTCACTACCGATATGTTTGGTATGTAAGTATATGTATTATGCTAGTGATTATGTGATATGATATTGACTATGTGGTATGTGTTATGCTAGTTGTCTTTGTGATACTTGTATTGAAGACCATGAGGGAGTTCATGACACCTGGATGTAAGACCATATGGGGAGCCCATGGCTTTCCTACTAAAGACCATGGGAGAGCGCATGGCAGCCAGATGTAAGAACATGTGGAGAGCCCATGACACTTAGGTGTAATACCATGTGGGGAGCCCATAACATCCTGGAGTAAGACCCTAGGAACGAGCCCAAGGCATCCCTTGTTGTTGTGTGCATAGCTTATGTGTTTTGTATAGCTGTTTGTTTAGCTAGTATGATATGTTATATGTATTGGTGTGCGGTATACTCTGGGGAACTCACTAAGCATTTTGTTTACAAGTTGTTGATTTGTTTCAGGTACATCCGAGCCCAAGGGCAAGGGCAAGACGTGATGACGTAGTGTGCACTCTATCTCTCTCTTTCACTGTTAGGTCTTGGGGACACTCTAATGATTTGGATAATTTGTAATGAACCGTTGATTTGAAAATAATTATGTTGGGATTTCATGGTTTATGCAATTATATTTTATTAATTAAAAGTGAAAATTTTTCTTGTAAAAATTTGGGTCATTACATTCATGTATGAGATATACATTATTATCACATTGTGTGATTAAAATCTTTATGTACTCACCAGGTTTTCCAACCTGACACACTCAATTTATTGTATCACATGTGACTAAATGAAAGATACATTCTGATGAGAGATTCAATGAGTATTAGGCCACTAGTTTAATTACTAAGGCTTGTAATATTTTGTTATGTTTATGTTTTTGTATTGACGATAACATCCCAATGTTTTAACATAAATAAAATACATTTATTCGGAAATGCTTTGATAATATCATTATCATGTTTTCTGGAAACAAATTTTGCAATATTATTATTCAAAAAATATTCTCTGAATTTTAAGTACGCATAAACAAATCGGTATTTTCTGACCGTGAAAATAGGAATTTCACACGTTATATGTATGATATGTATGGCATGTGGTATTTTGTGGAACTCACTGCTTCGTGCTTACGATTTTTAGTGTATGTTTCAGGTACTTCCGAATCCAAAGGGAAGAGCTCAAGGTGATAGCATCACACACACCACGTTGTTCCGCATTTACTTTACTCTCATGTATTAGGATGTTTTGGTCATACTTGATTCTATTATTGTTTTATGAACATGTTTTGAAAGAAGGTTTTTATTATTTTAAAAATTACAAATTTTGACCTTAATTTTTAGGATGTTACATGTTCTATATTGTTTTGTTTTGTAGCTTTTTTCAGTTGCTCTAGACAAAATGATTTATATACTTATGGTAGTTGATTCTTTATGTTGGAGTAATCTAAGTAAAATGTTTATTTTAAGGTCAAGTTTTCCTCGATGATACATTTATCATGAAATTTTGAGCTATTTTTTACAATTACATTTTATATAGGATCTTGGATATTGGAATTTATTGTTTCCTAACATAATGGTGGTTATGCGTGCAGATGTTGATAACAACCAAGATTTGGAGCTTAATCTTTTGAAGTTAGGTGTAGTCAATACCATGTTTGCTACAATTTTAGGCCTTTTGATATTAAAACACTCATAAAAACCATTTGTTTCTTTTGATAACTCATATTTATGCTTGAAATTGTATTTGAAGTTGAGTTTTCAATATCATGCATAATGTTATAATTATCTTTTATTTTACACCATCGGGTAAATTACTTCATAACTAAAATTATTTTTATCCATCTTATGCCCACTAGGTATTTGATTTAATGCCCAAGTGAATATCGTTAATCTAATTCATGTTTTTCATCAGTAAGTTGACCTATCGTAATAATTTTGTTAGATAAGGTATGCATTTATCCCACTTAAATAAAAACTTTAGTCAAAGTATATATAAATCATTATTTAAGTTGCAAATTAACAGATTTTTTATGGCTTTGTCAAATTTTTATCTTAAAATTTTGTTTTAAACATTAAATCTAACAATTGTTTGAAACTTTAAAAATGATATTATCTTTTATTCTTTTTGTTCAATATATTTCTTGAATTCTCACTTTGCAAGTTCAAAATTTTGTAAAATGAATTAAGAGAAAATTGTTCGAAAATTGTTCTTTATATCAAACTTACTGGACATAATTAAGCATTAAAAAATACCAAGTCAGGAAAAAGTCTTTTCTCTCTCACGAACATTAATGATCACGAATTGTATTTTTTTTTTTTTCTCTTTTTCTTTTTTATATGAATTTTGATAACCTGACATTTGAAGGGCCCAATTTTCTCTGTTTCCCCGGGACTATTATCGGTTTATAATTTGGATCTTGATTTGGTGTTTGAAGGGAATTTGGATGTTTAATTTTCGGCAACACACTTTCAATTAATTATATTATTAGAACATTACACACACACAACCACATACACAAAGATACTCTGCTCCTTGAACGTTGCTAATGCAAGACATACTTATGTACTTTCCTTAATTCATTAATTATAGAACCATTCTTTCATTTTTTTCATTACAACGAAAAATATCAATTGTACTTTCATCTCTTTGACATTTTTATAGTTAAATTGTGTAACTGAAGGGTGCCATTATGTACACATTAATAAAAATATGTCGCTATTTATTGCATGTAGCTCTATATTTCATAATTGTTATAGTTAGCCAAATGAACGAATGCATCTTTATGGAGAGAGTTTGTCCTGATTTAGGTTTGTGTTCAGGTTTTTGTTCTTCGAATTGTCATTACTAATTTTATGTTATATATGAAACATGGGAATTAGGTTGGTGAAACAATTCAAAGAGCTTCAGCACAATTTATAACCCAGTGACGAAGAGATAAACCAATTTACAAAAAAATATGATTATTTTCACAAATTGTGTCGGCTTTGATAAACTTGTTACATAACTTTCTTTTTAACTTATAACAAATAGTTTGTACATTAAATAGAACCAACTAAAATTTACAAAATTAAAAAATAAAAATCTTAAAATAATCGCATAAGTGAAAAAGAATTTAAACGTGAAGCAAAATATGGTTAATATACTCTAAGAGTAATAAATTTATCCGGTAGTTACATACATTTAGATTTAGTTTTTAAATAATATTTTGTTCATAAATATCTTTTTTTATTTTATTAATACTTACGAACCTAATAGTTACATGTAAAATATCTACATGCCGTTTCCATTTATATGTTGTACGCGTTAACACTTTTTGACTTTGGGTGGGACCACAAGATGAATATAAATGACTTAACATAGTACAAGTTTCAATGAACGAAAAAAAAAAAAAAAAAAAAAAAAAACACAATAAATAAATTCAGTTAAATGAATTAACACAAAACAATGGTGAGAGTTGAATGAATAACAACAGACACTACACAACGACGCAAATTCTCCAACACCCGATTTTAACACAACACCAAAGAACTTGGTGAAGAACTTGTTAAATCCTAAAACCCTAATTAATCATGTGAAAATTAAATAAATAAAATTTTGAAAGAAAATGGTTTTTGTGGAGACTAAAACGACACATGTCAATCTATAAACAATTTAAAAAATAAAGTTGAGATTTAAAACGTACTGCTGCTTTCACTAGCAGAGATCGAAGGCCCTTCGGTTTTGACAAGATGAGAACCGTTTCGGTTACTGATGTCAAGCCCTTGGAACCGCCCAAGTGGATCCTGTTGCAATGTGTTTGAGAGGGCACCGCCATGGGTGGCGGCAAGTAGCGGGTGGTGGTGGTGGTATTTTTGTGGGTCGGGTTGGTTTTGGTTTGTGAAGAAGTTTGGTTGGTTATAAGGAACATGATGCATCCCTAGATTGTATCCGTCTGAACAGCTTGCTATTTCTCCGGTTGCAACTCTCAGCCTTTCCACTTCCTGCTTCAGTGCCTCATTCAGAGCTGTGTTTTAGAAATAATTCATAAAAATTGATCACTCAATCTGTTAAAATTTGGCTAAATTTCAAAAGAAGTAATTGTCCACATTAATTGGAAAAGAAAGAGTGGGATTTATGATTATCAAAGGAGTCCAAGTTTTGGTTCCAAAGTGGTCCAATCAAATGTGCTTTATTTCATTCTTACTTTCTTTCTTATTTTGTTTCAAAGCACCCAATTGTGTGAGTAAGATTTGAAGGTATGAGTTTATTTAAGGGTGGCTTTAGAGATTAGTCTATATGATTGTAATAATTTACCATAAATAAATTCGGGATGGCTTGAGAGATTAGTATATGTGATTGTAACAATTTATCATATAGTGAATTTTTCTCTGGTTACCGAGTTTCCACGTATATTCTTGTGTTTATTTTTCTTGTTGGGTGGTATTTCTTGGAAACTTACCATCACGTAACTGAGCTTGTTGTTCCATAGCCTGTAATCGGAGCTTAAGCTCGGTGTTTTCAGATGAAAGGCCGGTTGTATCTCTCTGTAAAAGGAAAAATATAAGTCCAAAAAAGTTAAAGTAAATCGAGTATTAGAAAGATTGTGAAAGTGTCAAAAGAATGACCTGAAACAGAGTTAACTGAGCTGAAAGGGTGGTTGCTTCTGTTTGTAGGGTCTGAACTTTTCTCTCAAGTTCCGATATATAGCGTGCTTTCCTCTCTTTCGATCGAGCAGCAGATTGTCGATTCGCTAAAATCCTGTATGCTACAAAGCATAAGATGATCTGACATTCTCAAACCCAACATATTAGCTCACTTTTTAATTACGATTACTCATAGATTATCATTTAAATTTGAAATCCTGTTTGTAATATGTTGTTGTTACGAGATTTCTTGGTTATTATGCACTTTCTCAATACAGTGAATCATGCTTTATGTTTCAAAAAGTTGTGACATTAAAGTAGATCAAGTCCATTTACAAAAATATATATATATATATATATATATATATATATATATATATATATATATATATATATATATATATATATATATATAAAGGCACATTAAATATAAATATCTTAAAGATCTTTATAATTCCTAACAGAAAAATTAAAATCGAAATCAAGCAGAGAGCAATACTAATACGAAATTAGAGAATTCGATTGCAATCTACAGTGATGGAATTCAAGTTATTCTCTCTAAAGATTTGGAAATGATCTGATGAATAATTCCATAAAATTAAAGAATTTTCAGAAAAAAAAAAAAAAAAAAAAAAAAAAAAAAAAAAAACGAAAATTAAGATATAAAAAATGATACTTACCTCTTAGCGCGTTTAGGATCAATAGTCCACAATTCAGCAAGCTTATCAGGAGCCATTGCTTTCTTAGCTTCAATACTTTCACTATAAAGACTGGAACTATCCATTGAATTGCTATGCCGATGTCGAGGTCTGGAACTGCTCTTTTCACCGTCACCATTGTTATCCTCCGAAGCTCCACCACCACCACCGGAATTGCTGATCCGACCGATGTCTAGACCACCTCCGCCGCTGCCGCCGCCGTCAGTCAAGTTGGATCCGAGCTTCTCAATGTCCATATAAGTACAAAACAAATCGTCCTCAGATCCAAGCTCTTCGAAGCTTCCAGAGGGTGCATCGAAGGTGTCTGATACCAGATCTAGGTCGTCCGGTAGCCGGAAGTTGACCTCGGAGTGTGCTCGGCGGTGGTGAGATGCCCTGAACGGAAATGGAGCCGCATTCATTGGATTTGGATTTGGATTTGGATTGGGATTGGGATTGGGATTGGGAATGGGATTTGATGGATCTTGCATTGCGTAATGCGTATGATGTTCACTTGCTCTCTGACCAAAAAGAAAAAGGAGTGTGTGTTTAGTTATCTGTATTTATTAAAGGGAAAAACCGTATAACTGTTTTCTGGGTGCAATGTATGCATCTCGTGGACTATTTTGGGTCAAACCTATCGTTATCTGTTGAGTCTGCTTTGATTCGTTTCCAAACGGGTCGGGTTGGGTTTCTCGGATATTGATCCTTTTTTGTTATTATAAGTTGATAAATAATAGCAAACTAGAGGAAATTTGTGCATGTATAACCAGGGATAATGTCGTAAAAAGATTTAAGTTTTGTCGAAAATATCGGTTTCATAATCTAGCAGACTTTTGATTCGTTTATACCACAAACTTGTTATTTTTTTTGTCCGTTTTGTTCTTTTTACCTGTAATAGCAGGTTTTCTGGTTATCATTAAATATTATTTGCGAAAAAACTCTTAAGTTTACACATATTTTGTAAAAAAAAAACCCTTCAAATTATAAATCTTAATAATGGTTTGAAATATGTTGTTAAGGATTTTCAAATTCGTATTGATGAACACAGAGTAACATCGCTTCCTATAAAGAACGAATGTAAAAAAATCATGCATAGTAAAGTTAACATATTTCTATAGAGACCTATCTTGGACTGTTTTTCTATCAAAACAAACTTGTGTAGTTGCGGTATTAACATTCATTATTCCTTATATCTGATTTATAGTAACTCTATATAAGATATTTGACATGTGTTCATTGAGTGTGAAGTGACGTCCCAAATTCGTTTTAAGATAAATTGTTGGTGTAATATATACTTATCAAATCTTATTCTTATCTATAATTTACATGATTTTTTTATTCGTTGTATATATTCATGGCTTGTAAAGGAGTTTTGGATGTGATAATAGTCGTGGTGGCATTATTTCTATACAATTATTTTTTTAAAGAAAAATAAGAATATTCTATATGGTTAAAAAGTTTGTGTTTTAAAAATAACAATATATCATATTTTTTTTATAAAAATAAATATAGTTGTATTAGTTATTATTTCTAAAACACAAACACAAACCTTTTAAACGTATAAAATATAAATATATTTGTCTAATTTATTATACAATATAATTATTTGTATAAAAAATATGATATATTATTATTTCTGAAATACAAACCTTTTAAACATATAAAATATTTTTATTTTCCTTTTAAATAAATGAATTGAATGTAATTGATGACATAGTATTATTTAGATCTTTAACTATTTTAGCATATATATATAGCGGTGTAATTAGTTGTTAACTAACATATGTTTTTTTTTATTTTTGCTTAGAAATGTTTAAGTATTAATTAAAGAATATATTCAGATTTTGATAAAACTAAATAATTTCTAAAATTTAAATATTAAAAGTTTATATCGAACCAATAAAAAATTACCAAACTTAAAGGTAAAAATATGTTTCGGTTTTACTTTCAAAATATAAGTAGGTAAAATTTTTATTGGTTTTATATAAAAACTTGATATTTAAATTAAAAAAAAATGTTTAGTTTTATAAAATTTTGAATATATGTTTATATTTTATATGTCTATAATCTTAAGGGTTTTTTTTTTCAAAACATTTGTAAACTTAAGAGTTTTTTGGAAAATGATATTTCATATTAACCTAGAAACCTGCAAAACAGGTAAAAATAGTAAAACTGGCAAAAAATGACAAGTTTGCAGCATAAACAAATCAAAATTTCGTTAGAGTGTAAAATCGACATTTTCGCCCAAACTTGTGGCTTTTTATGGCGTAAGGTGAGGTTGCATCCTCAGTTACACGTAACCACCATCTCAATAAATGGTGATAGTCTAGTGACATAGATTGCGCTACATAATTAAATAAAAAATCATTTTTTTTAACAAATCGATTTTTACCTACAAATACAAACTTATTTGACATATATTTTCACGCTACAAATATCATATGTTCTATATATATATTATATATATAATATATTATATATATATATATATATATTATATATATATATATATATATATATATATATATTCCACACAATAAATGATGAACAATTTGTCATCTTCATCTTCATCGGATGATGATCATACATTTTTTCACTCATTCTCGAAAACGACAGTCATCATATTTGATCAAGATGGTGAAAGCTCAAACACCATCAAGAAGACTAAAACATCAATTAACAGGGATCGTACGACTGCACACACACACACACACTTCTATTACACTATTATTGTTAGAAATCGGGGATGAAAAGATTGTTTGGATTCTCTAAAAGCCGTGGTTTCACTATCAAAATGAAGTACTTCGAGGGTAAAGATTGAACACTCGGATAAAATTCAGAGATTTTGAATTGAGAGAATGTATGTGAATTTTTCTTGAAGATGTACCATAAAATGACCAAAAAATAGGTATAAGATCTATGTCTTAAACTGTCACAAGATAGTTTTAAACTATCACAAAATAGCCAAAAACTGTCATAAAAGTGGGTTTTAGGACAAGAGTCAAAATGGGTCAATTTTCTAAAAATTCTGATTTATGATATATTTTAATCAAAGGAACATGACCCAATAAATGACAGTGTACTTTGAATCTTATTCAAACTCAAAGAAGTGTGCACTCCACAACTGCCTTACTTGTTTACTGTTTTTCATGATTGTATTTGGAAACATCCCAAAAATACGGTCCAAAAATTTCGTTTACTGTTTACTTGTTTACTATTTGTCATGATGATATTTAAACCATAAATATCATCATCAAGTAAACATCATAAGCCATGTATCTCAAGAACATCATATCAACTGTCAAAGTGTCAAAATATCATATCAAATAACATAGTAAAATATCCCAGGCTAGAAATTGCGGTGTGTGCTATGCGATCATCCCGAGTCATTCCCTTTTCTAGCAGAAGTACCTAAAACCAAAAGTGAAAACTGTAAGCACGGAGCTTAGTGAGCTCCCCCAAACTACCACATAACATATAACATATAACATACACTTTAGGACTCCGCCGAGCAGCATCAGGACGAACCCAATATCGAGCTTACTAGCATCAGACCACGTCTGGCATCGGGCCCCGCCCGACATCGGGCTTGCCCTGACACACACACAACATATCATATATCATAAACACATAACATAAACACATAATATAAGCATATAACATACATGGGGCTTACCCCAACATCGGACCTAGGCCCGTAACACATAACACATAACATGCATGAATCACTAAGACATCAAGCGTACATATACACTTCTAGGGATCGCCTCGGTATCGGACCGAAGTCCGGTTTATGCTAACATACATAAACAGGTAGGCATTGGTGCCTTCGACCCGTTCCTACTAAAGGAAAACTCACCTCTCAAACTGGATGCTGAACTCGTGCGTGAGGAATCTCCGATGGCTGCTCTAACGACTCTCCATCTACAGTTACAAAATTTAGTCAAAAACTGAAAATCTATCTAAGGGTAAAATGACCATTTTACCCTTGGTCAAAGTAAACGCTCTGGTCAAAGTCAACATTATGGGTTGATCAACTCACAGAGTCAATTCCTTTCAACTCGTCAAGCTCTTTAACTCAAAAATCCTGGAATTGCGACTCCACTCGCCGAGTCGTTCCTCCAACTCTTCGAGTCCTATCGAGTTGCTCATAGTTGCGACTTGGCGAATCAACTCGTCGAGTCCCTCTACAAACTCGCCGAGTTCTACCTTAAACTGGAACGACTCGTCGAGTTCCCTTATGGACTTGACAAGCCCCCCTGTTTGTTTGGCCATCTTAACAGATTAAGCCCCTATTCTCTTGATCCAAAGTCCATACTTCGCTTGTTCACTGGAAATGATCTTATAGCCCTTCTTGAAGGGTTTAGCTAAAACCCTAATTCTTTTAGGACATAGATCTTATCCTTAATATCACAAACAAAAGCATGAAAACCTAGATCTAGGGCCTAGATGCGAGTTAATCACGTAAAGTCTTGAACTTGCTTCCATACATGGCCTTTTAGGGCTAAAAAGGCCATATAAATGCTTAAAAGCTTGCATGGGGATTCCATGGTCTTGAAGTTTGCACCTTTATGCCATGGAACCCCTCCTAGATCCCAAATCTGAAATATAAGTCACTTGGGACGTCCAAATCCCAAAGACCAAGGTTCTTGAACCAAAAGTCTCATAAAATGGAAGTAAATAGATCTAAGAAAAGATTGA